CCCCAACTTTACAAGTAATCCCCTGCATTGCACTCTGTTTGATGTTCTGGGATGGTGTGTCAGCAAGTCCTGACTGTGATCTAACAGACATCTGGCCGAGATCTACTGGTTGCTGACCCCCGCTTTAGGCGATCCCTGAAAACTCATCTCTTCAGGGAAGCTTATCACACCTCCGAATAGACATTTATCACTTATATCAGCTCATCCCACACAGTTATAACCTTTTGTACTGCTTGCCCCACACTATATGATTGTAAGCTCTTATAAGTAGGGCCCTCCTGTTTTTGTTATATTGTAGCTGTATTGTCTCCCTTTATATTGTAAAGCGCTGAGCAAACTGTTGGCGCTATATAAGTCCTGTATAATAATAATAATAATGATGATGATGATGAATCTTTTGAAAGGGTAATTTGATATTTGGTTCTACATCCACTTTTTACAGACCGCACGCCTATTTTTTCACTTATAATTTATTATCTTGAATTTAGAGGGCTACAGTTCCTGAATATGTACACTGAGTGTGAAGTTTTATTTTTATTCTTTATATCTTTTTGCTGGCTGGCAGTCTTAGGCCCAGGGGTGGACTGACCATTTGGAAACTCGGGCACTGCCCGAGGGCCCGGGGTCAGTAGGGGGCCCCATGAGATGCCCCTGGTACCTTTTTCATAGGCTTTTTTGAATTTGGGCAAGGACAAAGGGGCCCCATGATCCCCTATTGAGCAGGGGCCCCATGAGTTCTCAGTCTGCCCCTGCTTAGGCCATATTTATTTGACGGTGTGGAATGAAGTCCCTTTTGTACATGCACAGGAGTCAGTCATCCGGCACACAGGGACAGTGAGCAGACAGGTAGGTGTATTTTACTGCAGAGGAGACAAGAGCCCGCCTCCTCGCAGTTTGCAGCAGCGGAGTTCTTCCTTAATTTGTTTCTCAAGCCCAATTAAATCTGCTTGTTCATCTAAGACTAATATAGACAAAATTGCAGTGCTTATTTTTCACTAATTTGATCATCCGCTGCTGGATACTGGTGCTCTGGCACAGACTGTGGACTACAAAGAAGCATGAAGATCTCTGTCACCATGGTAAATTGCAGTAAAACATCTGCTTTATTCAAACAATGGAGTGTACAGCACAGAACAGTCAAGATCTTTCAGACAAGGCGGCCTTACTCATGACTCAAGCAACACTTTTCAGCCAAGGTGGCCTTACTCATGACTCATCAAGCCATCTTGGCTGAAACGCGTTGACGTTCTGTGCTCTGCACACCATTGTTTGAATAAAGATGTTTACTGCAATTTACTGTGGTGCCAGCGATCTTCGTACTTCATTCACCTAATGCTACCCTCTCACCAGATTCACAATGCTGCTTTCCTATGGTGTCTCCTCTATCCAGAGTGGGGACGCTCTAAGACAGAAAGTTTAACTGACCAGATCACCAGGTGAAAATGAAGAAGGAAAAAGACTAAAAAAAAAAAAAACTAAAGCTGCTATATATATATATATATATGTATATATATATATATGCCATTCCTGTTCATGGAGATCCATTCTGGGGACCCTGTTGTGTTGTCTGCTGCTTGATAGACTGGATATAGCCTGCTAAACATAAATTACATCATTTCCACAAACAGGTTTAGGTAAAAGAAATTTTATTCATGATGTATAAACATGGAATTGTTCATGGAGGTTATCAGAACAGATAATATTTCACATGAAGATAAAGCAGGAAGTTATATGTTCTCACTTACAGCTGGTATTTTGGTTCCTTGTTGTACCCAATATGGCAGCTAACAAAGAGCAATGGACTGCTCAACAAAGTTACACAAATGCCAAATATTTCAGTTCCTGCACAGGTCTAGGTATTTTACATACATAGCTGCCCAGTCCAGAATGTAACTGTTCCTGATTGAGTGGTCCATTAAAAACAGATTACATTTTTTTTTTAGACACAACAATGACGCTGGACATAGGTGACAATGTAGGGGCATGTGACCATGTGTAACAATAAATCCAAGCATCATTTTCCAAACAGTTATATTTAAGAATGCTTTTTTAACAGACTATTTAAAGACAATATATGGCCTTCTTTAGTGAGGCAATTCACAGAGCAATGATGGTGTGCAAGGTGCAATAACCCCTAGAAACCAGACATCAGTACATGGTGATCAAAGATACATTCTGACTGCTGGCCAAGGGACACTCAGCTCTGCACTATAAGCAATCTTCATATTGTGATTTCCATTACTGACCAATATTAATAGGGAATAGTAACCAGTGAAATGTATAAGTAAAAGTAAGGAAGTACTGAAGAAAAAAATGAGTGGAAGGAATGATTTGATACTTGATATGGAACCATAACTATAAAAAAAAAAAATAAACTGTAAAGTGAACCTGTACTAAAGGTGAATGAAGTAAACCATACCAGCACACAACTGCATTCATCTGAAAGTGGCTGTATGTACTTTTTGTTATTGTCAGGATCACCAAGGCCCTTTATTATGCAAATATTGAGTTCTGTTCCTATGGTGCTCCCCATTCCCACAACAGTCAACATGTAGGCACCTATAAGGACCCATTCATACCTTGGTGTTCTAGTAACACGTGTGTGAAAAACATGTATCCAGCTTGAGGTACCATTAACTCTTAATGGCACCCCAAATGTGAGTAGGAGTTATGCATTTTGTTCTGTTTTCCATGTGACAAAATGCGCAAAAACGCACATCACAAAATGCATTGACTCATTGTCAAAAAAAAAAAAAAAAAAGTACTTTGGAACATTTGTAGCATGTAGGGCAGCCCATTTAGTTGCCCTATTCGCCAAAAAAAAACGCAGTAAAAAAAATCCAACATGTCACACAAGTGTGAATGCGGCCTATGTGTACTAGTGTCATTCCTCTACTAACGTAACCTGTAGCGCAGGTACACTTTGTTTTCCGTGGTTGGGGTGGGGGAGGTTAGGAAAGATGAAAATGTATCCTAAACTAATAAGAATCAGCACAAGAGACACATATTAAATATATGTAATGTCCCTTGAGCTGATAAAGTGGTTATAAAGCCTAAACAATTTTTATCTGCATTTGCTACATTCACGTAAAAAATGTTTAGGTAGCAGTATCACCCCCCCCCCCTTATACTTTGAGTCCTCACTCAATCCAATGCTGTTCCCATCTGTAGCGGCTCTCCTCTCACCTCCTGGTCTCACAGGCTTTGCTGAGGCAGTGGGAGCCATTAGCTTCCGCTGCTGTCTCTCTAATCCTGTGAAAAGGGGCGAGGGGGCTAGGCCGAGCCACACTGTCTGTGTCTATGGACACAGGCAGCATGGCTCGTGGTCAAGAGCGCAGGCGTGTCCCCCATAGAAAGCACAATGCTATGGGGGCACACTCAGAAGAGGAGGAGCCAGGAGTGCTAGTGGAGGATCCAAGAAGAACAGGTTTGTGTCTGCTCTGTGAAATTCCATTGCACAGAGCAGGTAAGTATATCATGTTGTGGAGAAGAGTAAGAACAGGTGCTTTCTTGTCTGTGTTTCCATTGAGAATATTTCCTCTCACTTCCTATTTAGTGACATCCTGACACACAGAAATTAATGGAAATCTACCCTATAGAGACACAGACTGCAATAAAAACCCAACAGAGGTTTTAACCTTTCTACTCTCTTATCTAAAAAAATAAAAGCAGTTCAAGATGAATAAGGTTTTAATGCTTTACCCTGTATGAGCTGTTTTGCAATGTTTTTGAATATAGTTTACTTTCGTTTGTAGCCATCTTTTGCTATTTTGTACGCTCACCAGTTTACTTAAAAGCCACATTCATTATTGTTAACACAGGATGCAACACAAAACTGCTTGTACTAAGAATAGAAGAGCCAAGTCATAGCTCACAAAGGAAATAGATTATTTAGCCTGAACAACCAACTGTGGCAAAATATTCAGGAATATGCCAAAAAAGAAAAGCATTATATTTAATAAACATTAAAAAAGGGCCTTTAAAAAGCAATTACCATGTCTTCTCAAAGTGGAAGAATACAGTTAAAAAGCAACTCCATCAAAATCTTTCAGTTTTGGGTATGTAGAGCAGGATTATATCCCTTCTTGGGTCTTCATCGTGAAAACACACCCTCCTTGTCCCCTTTTCGGACATGGCTTTTAAACTGAGCTACTATTGTCACTGGTTTGATTGTTCTTCATATATTCACTGGGACCATGATACAGTATTTCTGTGCCCTGTTCATGTAAATGGACCTATTACAGAAATAGCAAATTTTGGATGGAGCTGCTCTTTAGGCAGAAAGAAGAGACAGAAGAGGATGTAACATGCAGTCCATAAAAACAAAATGACAATAAGTTATATTTCTCAATATATATACACATATATTTATATATTTATAGATATATAAAATTTACAAATAGAATAACCATTTTATAATAGCTTACGACGTGGACTGCTTGGGCGGCAGGAAAAATAAACACATTTTCTAGCAGCTCCACTCTGCACAGTTAATGACCAAAGGCAAACAAGTCTTTTATTTCAAGCGTCAATACCTAGTGACAATGTCCTTAGCAGACAAGTAGATCAGATGCTGAGATTGAATAGGTAAAAGGAGCACACAGGCTGTTGGTGAGACAGATGCTAATCCTCCCCGGCCTCTGGAACTTGCCATGAAATTCACACTAACAGTCTACTGTGCAAATTCAAAATGAAAAGGCACTAAATTTAGAAAGCACTGAGAGGTGACACTTTTGTCCTGCACGGTCCGGGTAATGCAGTATGCCTGTCTCTAGTTTTGTGCTCCTTCCCAACATGGTAAAGTTAAATGACTCCTGATGGCAGCTGTTGGTGACTTTTCCATCCTCTAAGACGCTGGGTTTGTGGCGTGACTCCAGGAATGTGTGTTGCAGGCTGTAAGGCCTTACTGTAAACAGCTTAAAGAAAAACAACATTAAATCCATCAGCTTCTCCTAACCACAGTAAACCAAGGGGCCGAATATCCTCTGCCCTCTCTAATTCTACGTCCTTCCACTCCTGCTCAACAGGGTGCAGACACAAGCTGTATCAATCCGGATCCAGCGCCAGCCCACCATCTTGTCCAACACAGTTAGTGCTCGTACATATGACTGTTTTGGTTTACACTCTGATATCCATTGTCTTTTGTCCACCCCTCGGCAACCATTGGTTGTGCTGCCTTGAGGGTTGCATTTGGTCTCAAAAAAGTATTGCTTTAAGGGTCCTGTGAGTGTCTGAATTTCAGACAAGATGGTAACAGTCTTCCCCCGAATATCTACTGCCTGTTTTTTATCAGTAACCCAGACATTTATGCTATCACACACTGACTGTTCTCCCCTTCTTGAAAGGCTAATGGAATCGGAGCCCTGTGCCCGTTTTACTCGAGAAGTCCTATTTGCTGGCTCTGAGTGTGCAATGTTCTCTTCTGCCAAGAACAAAAGGGGAGGTCCAGAGGGCTCCTGACTAGACAGAGCCACTCTTGATGAATAAAGGTTCCATTCTTTACTCGTCATGTCAGGATATGTAGTTGCCAAGTCTGGGAAGATCCCTTCATGGAGTCCATCAGTGGAGTTATAGGGTTCCTGCAATTGGTCTGATGTGAAGGAGGAATTGTTGGGGCCATAATCCCGATCGGTGTTCTGGTTTTGGAAAGGGGCAGCGTTGATGGCACAAAGGTATGAGATCACCATGACATTAAGGCGGAGGAGCATTACTTAATCCACCTCAAACAACTGAAAGAGAGCAAAAAAGACAGTCAGAATGCATGTCTAAAAACAAGCTCCTTTTTTGAACATTTAGCATATTGAAAATGGACATTTCTGTTATTAGTGGACTGAATCACTCACTGCTTTCGTATACCTTTTGTAAGGCTATGGAAGCCACACATTTTTACTTCATTCTCTAAGAAGCCTAGGAAACTAGTGGGTGTGGTAGCTTTTCTTCTAAAGTAACATATTAGATTTGGATAAAGATACATTTCTAAAACATAAAATAACTACATTCAGGCAAACAAAAATTAAAGCACCCTATACCGTAGATAAAGCATCTTACTGTTTATTTCAGTTCTAATGTCACAAAAGGTAGAAATTCATATTTTTCATCTTTATCTGCCAATAAAATGTTTAAAAAAAAAAGAAGGAAAAAAGAATATGAAGTAAACATTGGATGACATTTACAAAAAAAATGGTGAGTGCAAAATCTGGTGCAGCTCTGCATAGCATCCAATCAGCTTCCAGGTTTTATTATTGAAGCTTAACTGAACAAGTTGAAGTTAGAAGCTGATTGGCTACCATGCACAACTGCACCAGTTTCTGAGTGCTCTAGTTTTAGTAAATCTCCTCCATTATGTTTTACAGAATGTAATTATAAATACACAGCTGAGGTGCAAGTGGCACTGTCTATACTGCTTGCAGTAACATAATAGAATAAGGCAGGCCATAGATGATATGATTCCTGCAAGCACAGTCAGTGCTGATGGGGAAATCCCTCCTGCAGAGCTATTGTGTTCTTCCAGCTGGGCGATAATTGCATGTAAAAATCCAACATGCTGGTTGTACCTAAGTTGATCGATTTGGATACAATCAGTTTGCCACTAGATGGTTTGAATCATAGGCTGATCCCTCATTATTCCTTTATCAAAGCAATATAATGTTCTGTTAAAGTGGACTATTGCTGGATGGAAGGCAGTTGAGACCCTGTACTTACGTTAAAGTGCTGTCCTGCCAACTGGTCACCCAATACAGGCCAGAGGAAAACCATATGGGTATGGTGGCCTTCTACAATTCAACACTTCATGCCAATGGCCAGGTGCAAGAACTACAATGTGGGTGCAGGAAGGACCTTAGTCTTGTGTTCGTTTCAATGTGGTAGTAAGGGAGTACAATGGATGGTAAAAACAGTCTTCTTGCCATGTCATCTATCCTGCGAACCTGTTAGTAGGTCCAACTGACTGAAAAAGGTCCCTTAAGGGCAAGGAACTATATATATCGGTTAGAGTAGGCCAGGGATGAGAAAAATATGGTCTGTTATCTCTAACTTCCCTTTCTTTAAAGCTCAACTTTAGGCTAAATCTTTGGAAATGCAGCCTGGAGGTTTTATGTTTTCAGCAGCTTTGGCAGCAATACTTAACTGCAAACAAAAGTTGTCTACTGCAGTATCTCTTCTTTACTACAAGATGTTGTCAGTCTTCAAGGTGAAAGAACTCTCAACATCATTCAACCTGGAAAGCCTGAGACATCATGGTCCCACCCTTTGAGCATGATTTCCTACACTCAGTGTATTGATGCAAAAAAAAAGGTACCAAAGTCCCATTTTGATGTCCATTTCATCCAGCATAAACAGCTACCTGAGGTGGTCAGAACGGTGGCATAACTTACTCCATATTGTTATACCCAGCATTAGCCTTTTATCAATTCTGCCTTTACAAAAAAGGTTTATCATCGGTAGAACATAGGTAATAGAGCAACTATACATATAATATATGTGCATTTTAAATTATGTGATCTGTGTTACATCTTCCTAAATGCCAACTATTAATGCTGTCATTCCCTAGACAGACTGTGGGAAAATCTTGCATCTGCAAATGTGCTGCTTTAGGGTAATAGTACATTCTGGACTGTACTAATTAGCAAGCTTTAGAAACACATATTGACCACATACCCTCGGCTCACATCTGTTCATCTGCTTGCAGATGGTTTGCAGAGCAGAAAATACAATTATAAATAGTAAGGATTAAAGGCTTCATTGAGGGGGAAACACAACTGGAATTTAATTATTATTTAACACTCCTTAATAGATATCACTTTCAGTAACTTTGTTATTAAAATAAAATAAATTAGCTGGAATTCTTATTTATTTCTGATGAAATCTGCTGGCGACCTCCTGGAATGCTAGAGGAGAAATTACAGCCAATTACTGGTTGGATGCCGTAATCAGTGACTAGCTGCTCTATAAGCCACATGTAATTCCAGTACGTTTCCAGCAGATGTCTTCAGTGCAACCACGTAGATATGGAGTTGTTCACTCACCTCTTCTGGAAAATGATGCCTTAATAACAACATAGGCAGAAATACATCTTAAAGTGAACCTTCACTCTGAAAAACTACTTTGCCCCACTGTATTTTCACCCCTCTGAAATTTAGAAAACCTATTTTTTTTAAAGTACATCTTTCATTACTAATCTAGTCTGAGCCGATACATGCCTCCATTCCTTCTAGGGGAGAATGATGTGCCCCTGTTCCTGCAGATTCCTGGGATATTCCGGTCACATATGGAGGGTGAACCTTGCGCCGTATCAGCTGCAAGAAGCTGGAGGAGATAGCTGGCTCCCAATGATGCAGGAAGGGAAGATGGCAGCCCGAGACCCAAACCTGTGGCAACAGATGGCACCAAGGCAAGGCAAGTATGGACACCCATAGCAAGAGGTGCATGGGGAATATAAAAAAAAAAAAGTACACACAGGGGTTAAAGTTCCTGTTTAAAAGAAGTATGGGATGTTTTTTTTTCTAATTTATACTCAGGTGGTTGCAGCATCGCTCTGATGCTGCATCTGTCCCCCACCGGCTTTAAGTGTGATTACTGTCCCTCCCTCTTAGATTGTAAGCTCCAAGGAGCAGGGCCCTCCTAACCCTCTTGTATTGAACTGTATTGTTGCTGTATTGTCTCCCTTTATATTGTAAAGCACTGAGCAAACTGTTGGCGCTATATAAATCCTGTATAATAATAATAATAATTGCTGAGCTCTCGCCACTGCTGTTGGTCTGCTCTGCCCCCCTTTGCGCTCACTGGAGCGCTGGGCTGTGGATGGGGAGGGAGCAGGTGGCTCAGGCTCTCAGCAGATCGCTGAGAGGCTGATCCAGGTGCCACTCCAGACTCTGTGGTGGATCCCGACTTTAAAGTCAGGATCTTTCCCCAGCCTGGACCGGCTGAGTGACATCAGCCAACAGCGGGCTTCAGCCTGCTGTCAGCTGAAAACGGGTCACAGGAGTGCAGAACGAACTGCAAAACAGCTTTGGCTGTACTTCTCCTTTAAGTAGACTTCAGTTAAATAAAAAAAATGTATCATTGCTATACATACAGGGCTTGGCCTTCAGTGGAATAAAGCCACATGCAACATTTTATGAGGGCACCCCCCCTTCCCATCCCAGTCACCACTACTATACAGTTAGGAACCTCACCAGATCCATCACACTACACCCCCTCTCCCCAATGGTAAAAACCACCTGACATTCTGGAAGCTGTTTCAATGGCAAGATGGCTGAGCCCGTTATGATTGCTGCTTCAATTCCTTAAAAGCAAATATGAATTTTTCAGTTCTTGTGGCCTATTACAGTGTTAAACAGATTCGTTCTGTGCTTTACCTGGATTTATTAGCCACAAAGTCTCTGTAATCCGTTACTGTTAAAGCAGCATTCTCTAATCAGAATCTTGCACAGTTCAGTACACACTTCAATTAACCAAAAATGCTTCAAATTATAGGAAGGGAGAAAGTTTAACAGGAACGCCCACACAGTCATTCTATCATTAACCACTTCAGCTCCAGAAGGTTTTACCCCTTTCATGACCAGGCCTTTTTTTTTGCTACTTTAACTATTAATTGCGCGGTCATACATCACTGTACCCAAATACAATTTATTTTTTTCACACAAATAGAGCTTAACTTTGGTGGTATTTGGACACCACTGATATAAACGAAAAAAAAGAACTAAAATTTTGAACACCCCCCCCCCCCCCCCCAAATAAAACTTTCTGCTATAAAACATCCAGTAAAACTAGAAAAATATATATATCATATTTCTTAAATTGATGCCATAATTTATTCTGCTACATGCCTTTGGTAAACACAAAAATCCAAATAAGTTTATATTGATTGGTTTGCGTGAAAGTTTTAGAGTCTACAAACAATGGTATATATACTGGAATCTTTAAATTTTTTTTATCATACTAATGGCAGTGATTAGGGGACTGTGATAGTGCAGCGGGTAATCTGATGCTAATTGACACTGGGTGGGAAATGACTGACACTAATACAGTGATCAGTGATAATTCTATACACTGTCACTGTACTAATGACACTAGCTGGGAAGGGGTTAACATAGCGGGGTAATCAAGGGGTTAAGTGTGTACCTAACAAGTGTAATGTGTGTATTATGTGCTACTCTTTTCTTTGCTGAGAGGAAACAGATAATTTCCTCTGTACAGAGCCCTGTGTGGATTGTCAACACAGAGCTCTGGGATGTGATTGGACACAGCTGTTCAGCAAGTCCCTGCCATGTACAATCACAGCATGAGTAGGCAGGGGCGCGAGCATGCCCTGTAGTCGTAGGAGGCCAGGTAAGTTGCTGTGCCTGTACAGGCCGAAGTACATTGCGGGCGGGCAGTCTGCAAGTGGTTAAAGGGGAACTCTAGTCTTTTAAAGGAAAATTTGTTTGTACCGAGGATGTATAAAGGTTAACACTGTTGTCCTTTTGAAAAAACTAATTCATTGTCTTCAGTACTTTTGAAATCAATGACA